GCCTCCTGGGCTCATCAGACCCACGTAATCGGGCATAACATTACAGGGATTGGTTCTAGGTACCCCCTAGTCAGGAGCCATCCTCAGCATCACTCAGTCACTTAGTGTGACCCCTTTTATAAAAACGAAGTAAAATGAAGAAAATATAGTATGTTCAATGCAGAGAAAGTGTGTGTATATATCACTGTATCACTGTTGTCCCATTGTTCATTGATTTTTCTCGAGTGGGCACCAGTAATCTCTCCATTCATCCCAGCCCTGAGATTTCAGCAGCCTCTCCTTACTTATCCTTTCCAACATCGTATTGGAGGCTCTTTCAGGGTCAGAGGAATGAGGCCCATTATTATTACTATTTTTGGCATATCGAATATGCCACAGGGAGCTTGCCAGGTTCTGCCATGCAGACAGGATACCCTTGGTAGCTTGTCAGGCTCTCAAAGGGGACGGAAATTCTGCATCCTCTCTTCCAGGAGCTATATTTTATAATCTATGTATCTTGGCCGTTGATGAGATTACATGTAGGTGGGGGGGGGGGGGCGGTGGCAATTTGTTGATGTGGCTGCCAAACTACTGGAAACTGGGGGACCTGGGTGGAAGAGGCCCAGTCCCAATCCAAGCAGGCTTGGAGATCTCAGGAAAAGATCTCCAGGAAAACCTGCCTTGCTCTCTTCCAGGAGCTTTGTTTTATAGTCTCTGGGTCTTGTCTATTGATGATATTACATGGTGCCAGGGGCAGTTTGTGGGTGTGGCTGCCAAGCTACTGGAAAACTGGGAATCTGGGTGGAGGAGGCCCAGTCCTGATCTGAGCAGGCTTGGAGATCTCAGCCACGGATCCCTCATACCTGGGTTCCTCTGATGGTTCCTTCATGGGTGAGGCTCATCTGAGCATGTGGAAAGTGGCCTTGAGTATGACTGCAGCTGGGTTCTGGAGGTTTTCAGCTGCTGGGCTCTACTTGGGGCGGGGAAAGAGACTCAACCCGCCCTCCTCTGAGGGAGCCCCGGTGAAGACAGCCTGGTGCGTATACATATATATGTATACACTATATATACACATATGTACATACATATTTATACATATATATGCATATATATCCATATATATGTGTGTATATATATATATACCTGGATTTTTGCACAGGGATCATTCCTGGAGTGCTTGGGGGACATTAATTGGTACCAGGGATCAAAACAGTTTGGACACATGCAAGGCAAATGCCTTAACCCAGGAAAGCAAGAAAGTGAGAAAGGGGCTGGACAGGGCAGGGCAGGACTCACCAAAAAGTAATTAATAGAGCTGGTTTTCTTCCAAGTTTAGTCATTTTTATATTTTCTACAATTTTATTTTAAAAATTAAAATAATAACAAGTTTAAAATTACAAATTAAAGAAAAAAGAAAAATAATGAAGGGTGTTCCTCCTGTATAATCACCGTTTTTTTTTTCTTTTTGGGTCATGCCCAGTGATGCACAGGGATTACTCCTGGTTCATGCACTCAGGAATTACTCCTGGCCATGCTCAGGGGACCATATGGGGTGCTGGGAATCGAACCTGGGTCGGGCGGCGTGCAAGGCAAACACCCTACCTGCTGTGCTATCACTCCAGCCCCATAATCACCGATTTTTAAGAACACTTTCTTTGAAGATCAGAAACCTATTTAAAGAGACTAAGTACATCTAAAGCATCCAGAGAAGGAACCCAAGGGCAGCTAGGAACAAAACAATGTGGCCAACATTCACTAGTGATAGGAGGAGACTGGGATAGTTCAGTTTTTTAAGGTAGGTGTTGAAACAAGTATAGGCTTCAGGAAATATCTAGAAAAAATGCCTAGAAGTTCGTAGTACTGTAGCACTGTCCTCCCATTGTTCATCTATTTGCTCGAGCGGGCCCAGTAATGTCTTCATCGTGAGACTTGTTGTTACTGTGTTTGGCATATTGAATACCTCGCAGGTAGCTTGCCAGTGCTGGCGAGATACTCTCGGTAGCTTGCCGGGCTCTTCGAGAGGAGCGGAGGAATTGAACCCCAGTCGGCTGGGCCGGCGGCTTGCAAGGCAAATGCCCTACCACTGTGCTATCGCTCCAGCTCGCCTAGAAGTGAGAATCATTTATAAGTGTGTTTGGGAGGAATACAGATACCATGCAGAAAGAAAACAAGGTTTGAGGGATAAACTTAGGGACAAAAGCAGCTGCTGTGGGAAATTTACAGGATGAAGGTGGTGAGAATCTGGCACCTTCAGAAATAGAGCAGAAAGTTTTATTCCAGACTGGCTGTTATAGGGCATGGTCAATGATTCCTGGTAGCAGGGCGCAGGTATAGGGAAAAGCAAATAGAAAGATCCATATCCTTATTTCCCAGTCTTCTCTTTCTGAGATACCCCACAAACTTTCGAGACCAATACTTATTACTTGAACAGCCAGTCTGATTATTATCTTGCTCAGAATCATTCAGTGATTCCCCACATCTCTCTCAGACTGTTCCCTCTCCAGAGACACACTTATATTTTCCACCAAAAAAAATTTCATCAAAGGCTATTTTTATAGCCTTTGATGAAATTTTTTTTGGTGGAAAGTATAAATGCCACAGAGGCAGGGTGGGGTTGGGGGAATGGGGGGTGGGAGGGATACTGGGATCCGTGGTGGTTGGAAATGGGCACTGGTGGAGGGATGGGTATTTGATTATTGTATAATTGAAACCCAAGCACAAAATTTGCAAGTCTACAACTGTACCTCATGGTGTCTCAATAATAAAAAATTTTTTAAAAATTCATCAAATAACTCTTTTTTATTGCACATTTTCTCCTTTTTTCCCTTTTCTTCCTTGTTTTCTTCATTTATCTATGAACATAGTACTGAGGATACTTATTTGTATACTTTTCTTACCACAAAACTGTATGGTACTTTAGAGGGCTGAGACCAGGTCTTGTCTTTTCTTGTATATTAGTAACAATCACAGTGGCACTATGATCCATAAATCCTTTCTTACTATTTTGTTGGGCTTATGACTGGAATGGCTATAGACTTATTTTTTTTTCTTGAGCTGGCAAGCTCCCCACGGCATATTTGATTTGCCAAAATCAGGAACAACAAGTCTCACAATGGAGACGTTACTGGTGCTCACTCAGCAAATCGATGAACAACGGAAGGACAGTGCTACAGTGCTACTGAAATTTAGATCTCTGTGGGGAAACAGTCATCGATGAAACACAGTAAGAATGTTATGACAAAAGCTATGGCACACATTCCTTTTGTTACCTCGCATTCCTCTTGTTTATTTATACATTCATTCAAACGTTCAATAAGCATTCTCTATCTCTCAAAACTAGACATTTGGATTTCTTCTTTGAGAAAGTTTCTGTTCATTTAATTGCCCCATTTTTAATGACCAGGAATTTTGCTACATGGATTGGAGGCCAGCCGCACATGCTAGGGGAAAAGGCAGCTCAGATAGAGAAGGGAGCACCAAATAAAGGGTGTTGGGAGTATCCTCCCAGGATGGGAGAAGCATGCTGAAAGTAGACTACAGACCAAACATGATTGCCACTCAATGCCTCTTTTGCAAACCACAACACCCAAAAGGAGAGAGAGAAGAGAGCGGAATGCCCTGCCACAGAGGCAGGGTGGGATGGAGGGGATGGGGGGTGAGAGGGATACTGGGATCCATGGTGTTGGGAAATGGGCACTGGTGGGGGGATGGGTATTTGATCATTGTATAATTGAAACCCAAGCACAAAACTTGTAAATCTACAACTGTACCTCATGGTGTTTCACTAATAAAAAAAACTAGACTCTATGTTGGGAAAATTGTAAAATATGAAAGAAAATGAAAATCATTCCTTCCCTCTGAGAGTACATAATCTATTAGGATAAAGTTAACAAGTTTTTAAAAAAGTATGTGTATTGGTCTGCTTTCCAATAATGGAGTGTCTATTTATTTCATATTTTCTCCTGATGAAACCATTTAAATCACTGATAAAGTATTGGAGACATCTGTTTGAAATTTCTGTGCCTCTCCAGATTTGAGGAGCCAAGAAGCTGCAGAAAAGAGAATAAATCCATTGAGATCAGTCAGGTTGTTATGACAATTTTCCATCCAAGGTTGATTTATAAAATAGCTTGACTAAAGGGACTGGGCACCCTAGCAGAAAATTACTAATAAGAATTACAGGAATTGAGCAGAGTTGTTGTTAATATTATGGGACTGAGAAAGCAAAAGTGAAGTAGATGTCTATTAAGAAAGCAAAAGCTAAGAATTCACAAGTGCTTTAGTGTAGGAAAAGAGGTCTAGTAGCCTGAAAAGCTGAGCCTCCCAAAGAATTTACCAATTAACAAATAGCAAACATAAAGAGAACACTGGAAAGTCAAGAGATTATGGAGATAAATAAAAGCCCATGAGAGTGTCATAAATAAGAATTAACTTTTAAGCCTTGTCAGTCAGGGAAGGAAGAGGCCTCTTTGGAGGAATAGTCTTTCTTTTAAGTTCTATATCCAGAGAATCAAATTATAAGAAATAGATTAGACCCTCAAGGACTTTTGAAGAAACCAATTGCTCATTCTTCATCGGATTTAGGTAACTGCTCCACCCTCATTCTAACTTTTTGCCAGAAATAAAAGATTCATATGAATTGTAATCATTTTATCATATGATGTAGTCCTGGTGTTTAATCAAAAATTAACAAGCATATCAAGTGACAGAACCAAGAAACATCATAGAAATAGCCCCATAGGTGATTCATATATTGTATATATCAAATATAGGTTTTACAACTAATGAAGTTGTTTAAGACAGATGTGTTGCTTGTTAGAGATAGGAAATTTGAGTTAAGCTTTGAAGAATGTTTTGAGTTTTAATCAAGTACCTTTCAAAGAATTTGGTGTTCAAATGCAGCCCCTTGTAATGAAACTGGGAGAAATAACAAAGCTGGCCCAGAGCATACCCAGGATGTTTGATCCAGGATTGCATAAAAGAGAAGATGAAAAAATCTTATTTCTATTTATCTATTTTAGGATTTCTTCAGCAAATCAGACCCATTTCTGGAAATCTTTCGTATGAACGATGACGCCACACAGCAGCTGGTACACAGAACAGAGGTGAGAAGAGTCATCTTTGAAGATGACAAATTTATTTTCCTCAAGAAATCCATTACATTTCTTTTATTTTAAATTAATTTAATTTGAAGGATTGGGCCACATCCAGTCATTCTTAGGGACAACTCCAAAGATCTGTGCTGAAGAAGAAGCTTACATTTGTTTTTGTCTATAGCTTTGTATTGGTCCTAGGGTCTTTGCTATGTTAAAGATAATTCTATCTCTTATATCCTTTTTAATTTTGCTCTGTTTACTTAGATATTAGAATAGAAGACCCTCACTCAGCTATAATTTCTGTTATGTACTATTTCTATAGCCAGCCAGAGACTATTAAAATTAAACTATAAATATCAGCTAATATTTTATGAGTGATATATTGGTATTTATGAAATGATTTATATTCCTTATTTAATTTCTCAAAACAATCCTTTGACATTATTACAAGCTGGCAAGCCTGGTATAGAAATAGCTGTCCTGGCTAAACCATCCACTTTTCCATATTCATCTCTATTTTTTCTTCATAAAACTCCAAGCCTTACCCCTCAATATATCTAAACCAATATTCACTGCCATACACTCAGTCAACAACCAACCCCAATCTCCAAGCAAATCCAGAGATAGTCTGTGAAGGTTAGAAGTGCATAGATTTGGAAGGAATAGGTTAATGTGATAGGTGACTTGGAGTGAGAAAATTCTGTTGTGTTTACATACCTGTTGTAACATAAAGACAGAACCCTCATGACTTTCATAAAATAAATGTGGAGATGCCATATTCTTACTACTCTGCACTTGAAATCCATTTTTTCAAACAGAGTAGCAGGAACATACCACTGAATTTTCAAGGAGGGGATATTACTTGGTAGTAGAATACTTGTTGGCATTTGAAGGGCCCTGGATTTCATCTCTGGAAACACACAAAGTTACAGATCTAGAACTCTTCAAACTTTAGATAACTTGAATTTTATAAATTCTATTAAATAATAGAATGAATTGAGTTTAGCATATATAGTATGTTCACATGTTATAGCACAGTTTGACTATTTGGAACTTAATTCTGGAGGTACAACTAACTTGGAACTGTTTTTGTATGGTACTTCGTCACCATCACTATCTTACAGAGAGATTTTTGGGATAGAAAGAAAAGAAGTAAATAAACCTTGGAAAGAGTCAAAAGTGTCTAGTCTCCAGTTATTGAATGGAGGCTTTATTGGGTATAGATGGATAGTGTTATTGGATCTCTCTCAAAAGATTGTCTTAAATCCTATTCTTAAGAATCTCTAAAACTTTCCCCATAAGTCCAAGGCTAAAGAGTTCTGGAATCTTAGAATAAGGGTGTAATGTTTTCTAGTGAATCAAGCAACATAGTATTGATTGTTCCTCCTTCTTATTCAATAGATACAAAGTAATGTGCACATTCAACTATTTATTTCAGATGAAATTTTTAGTTGAAATTTTGATTTGATATTGAGTTCTTCAGAACAGTTACAATGGAATATCTTCACTTCTTAGTATTTTTATATAAAGGTGAGAAATTTAAATTAACCCAAACAATTTTATATAACTTCTCATTATCACTTTGATAATCCTTAGGGTATCAAAGTAAAAGACAAAGTTCCACAGGAACATTATTTTTCTGTTTTAATGCATTAAAAGAAACTTAATGAGTCCATGATATGATGAAAAATTCATAGTTATGTTAAGGAATTCATTAAAAGGGGGAATCACTTATAAAAAATATGTTTGAGTATAAAATTAACATTTTTAATGCTATGACTTCTGTTAACCATAACCTTCATATGAATAAAAAGTGATAGTCTGTAAATTCCATTAAATTTTATTCAAATGTCCTATTTATCAGTGGCTCTCAATTTTTTCCTTTTTTGTTCATAGTGCTATTAATAATTATTAATACTATTATTAATAGTAGACCAAATTACAACACCACATATATCACCAGTATACCTATCTCACTCCACAAAGTACCCCCAAATCCCTTGCTTCTTCCACACACAACAATGGTTCTCAATTTTTATATACTGCATATCCACCTCCAAAATTTCTGACAGTAAGTCCTGTTGGAGCCTAGAAATTTGCATTTTTAACAAATTTCAAAGTGATGATTTTACTGCTAGTCCAGGGATCACCTTTGGGTCTACAGTACAAAGCAGCACAATCCTAGGCCCAGAGCAGGTATATGTATATTCCAGGTCAAGTAGAATTATTTGAATAACAATGTTGAATTACTGGATAAGACTTGACTCCTAAGATTCTTGGCTAGTTTTAACCAAGTTCATAATTGGTAAGCTGCTTTTCAGTGTTTTACTACATTTTAGAATTAGTTTGTGACACCGAAGTTCTGCCATGCTATGCCTTTCTAGGATATTCTAATTAAAATAGTTATGAGCCATTTTATATCTGCGTTGGAGACTTTTCCCCATAGAAACTTCTCATATGACTTGCAAGATGATCAAACTCAAGGTTACCAAATACCACTCAATTCTTTCTTAGTAGGCTTGTCTTGCCATATACTCTATACTCATCAGTATATAGTATTTGACCAGTGTTTCCTTATGCTGGTCTCAATAAAAAAAATTGTATGCCCTCTTTTATGATTTTATCAGAGAACAGACAACTCCTATCATCTGAAATTCCTTCATTGGAACTCAAAGAAAGCCCATCTTCATTATTCTGTCCCTTTGTGTTATTGAGGTGTCATCCCCAACGTTTACATTCTGTCACTATGATTGTCACTATTCATGAAACAACAGTCAGAGCAGTGACTACAGGAGTTCTGTCCATAATCACCTAACTAGTGGGCACCCTTAAAAATGTACTATTCCAACTGTTCATTAAGACATGTGTTACAGACAATTGTCCCTTTCTCAAGTGTCACAGTACTTCTGATTTTATATTGAAATGTTAAGTGTAAAGCCACCCCCTGCCAACAACAACATGCCTTTCTTTCTTTTCTCAGGTTGTGATGAATAACCTAAGCCCTGCCTGGAAGTCATTCAAAGTATCAGTAAATTCTCTATGCAGTGGAGATCCAGATCGCCGGCTGAAGGTCAGAACTCTATTTCCAAGGAATACAGTTAAATCCATCCTATTTAACTTGATTCTTCCCTCTCAAGATCCAAAATGTTCTGTCCAACTTAACCAAATCTCAGTGTTTTGATGGAAGAAATGAGGGTGATTTCTTTAGTTATTGAAACTCGTGAGGTAGCCCTAAGTAAATCCCAATTGAGTTATGTCAAAGCCAAAACCCATGACTTCTCAGAAAAGAACTGTGACAATAGGCTTAGGGTATAATTGGGATGTTTATTGTTGTCATCATCTTTATGTTTATTATTACTATGGTTTGGGGGACCATACTGGCTGTGTTTAGAACTAATTCCTATCTCTGAGCTCCATGATCACTTTTGGTAGGCTTAAGGGACCATATAGAGCTCCGGGGATTGAACTTGATTAAGCTACATGCAAGGTAAGTGCACTATCCACTGTATTATCTCTCTGGTCACTATAATTGGGAGTTTTTGGAACATAAATATTGCTGTGTCCATGACCTACCATTGCATTGAAGACTGTTTTAGAATTCAGTAGCTTAAAATGCAAGTATTTTATTTAACCTATGATTCTCTGTACTGGCTAGCTGAGGTCACCAGAAAGTCCTTTTTGCCTTGGTTTGACTCCATCATGTGTCTGTGGCCAGTTACATGTGACTCTGCCTCTGGGTTTGACTGGCTGTCATCTGCAATGACTGGGAGGTGGGGCCCTTAGTTTCTTATCACTCAGAAAGTTATCTTGAACACATAGTGACCTCAGTTCAAAAGGAGAAACCACAGATACTGCAAAGAGCCTTAAATTTCTAATTTCTCACTCTAGGCCATTTCCTTCTGTTAGCCAAAGAAAATCACATAGTCATCCCAGATTCAAGGAGGGAGGAAAGACTCTTTGGTGAAAGAGCTGAAAAATAGTATAACCATTCCAAAAAAAAATTTACCACAAGTGCTCTTTTAGTATCATAGAAATGTAGGAATTTGAAAGATAAGATACATTGTGAAGGTTGGGATGATGAAATGAAAATCCTTATTGACTGCAGAAGCAAATTCCAAAAGATATTTCCTATGATCCTTGACCCTTTATCTTGGAAGTCCAGAAACTGTGTGATCAGTGCATCAGAGTTGATTCTACTAACTCGGGATGACTAAATAACTCCAATCAAGACTGGGATTTATATTCCAAAGACTTCACATTCTATGAGAAATATGACCATCACATAGACTCATCTCAACTTCATAGGTCATTTTCTTTTTCAGTTTTTCTTTTAATTTTGTATTAGTAAATCATTGTGAGGTACAGTTACAGACTGACAAACTTTTGTGCTTGTGCTTTAGTCATATAATGATCGAGTATCCATCCCTCCACCAGTGCCCATTCTCCACCACCAGTGATCCCAGAATCCCTCCCACCACCCCACCATATTACCCCACCCCACCTCAGTGGCAGGGCATTCCCTTTTGTACTCTCTCTCCTTTTGGGTATTGTGGTTTGCAATAGAGGTATTGAGTGGCCATCGTGTTCGATCTATAGTTTACTTTCAGCATGTATCTCCTATCCTGAGCAGGTCCTCCAAACACCCTTTTCTTGGTGTTCTCAAAGGGCATTTTCTCCATGCATGCAAATCACTGGGAAGGTAGCACTGTAGTACTGTCGTCCCATTGCTCATCCATTTACTCGAGCAGGCACCAGTAAAGTCTCCATTGGGAGAGTTCTTATTACTGTTTTTGGCATAACAAACATGCCATGGGTAGCTTGTCAGGCTCTGCCGAGCAGGCAAGATACTCTCAGTAGCTTGCCGGCCTCTCCGAGAGCAATGGAGGAATAGAACCCAGGTTGGCCGCATGCGAGTCAAATGCCCTACCCTCTGTGCTATCGCTCCAGCCCACTGGGAAAGTAATTGTTGGGAATTTGCTTCAAGTAGCCTGAAGGCAGATTCTGGATAATGGATATTATCAGTGGCTTCAGAATCTGAAAGTTGGGCACCTACCCTCAGTATGGAAATATATCTCCTTTTAAAGCTAGAGAGATAGTACAAGTAGAGTACTTACCTTGCATGTGCCCGACCTGGTTCTATCCCTGAAATCCCAGCTGCTCCTCTAAGCACTGTCAGGAGTAACTCCCGAGCACACAGCCAGGAGTAATTCCTGAGCATCACTGGGGATGTCCCAAAACAAAACAAAACAAAAAATGAAATACACAACCTTTTTTTTTTTGCTAATTTTTTTTTTTTATTTATTGAATCACTGTGGGAAAGGTTACAAAGCTTTCAGGTTTATGTCTCAGTCATGCAAATATCAAACACATTTCCCTTTACCAATACTTATTTTTTACCATGAAGAACCCCAATAAAACCCCACCCCCCACCCCTCCCCGTCCCTGTGAGGCAGATGAATTCTAGTTAACACTCTATCTGCTTTGATTAGATTCATTGTTTCAATAAAAGATTCACCACTATTATTTAGAGTTTACCCCCCCCCCCAAATCAGACATGTTGAAAAAGCATTGTGAAGTGATTTGCTTTCTACGGCTGGGTTCAAGAATTAAATGTTGGTTTTGGATTTCTGCTCTTTTACCTATTGACCCTGGAAGTATTTCTACTGAAAGTCAGATAGTTAAGAAATTGGTTTCTGTGTTCTGGAGTCCTGGCCGTGCTGGAGAGCCGCTTGCGGGGGGCAACCGGTGGCCTCGGTAGGGCGTGAAGGGCGGAGCGAAACGCCCCCCTTCCCATGAGGTTTTAGTCGCCCCCACACTCCCGGCTCATACCTGCTGTCCACAAGGCTCCCATGTGGCCGCCATCTTTCTTTCCAGAGAGGAGAGGGCGAATGGGGCAACACCCTTTCCCCTCCGGCAGACTTGATGGCCTGGATCAATGCATAGTCCGTTCACTTTTCTGCTCCAAGCTGCTGGGTTCTGCATTAAGTCCTTGTGCTTCTGGGGCCGTGGCCGTGCTGGAGAGCCGCTCGCGGGGGGCAACTGGTGACCTCGGTAGGGCGTGAAGGACGGACCAGAACGCCCCCCTTCCCATGAGGTTTTAGTCGCCCCCACACCCCCGGCCCATACCTGCTGTCCACAAGGCTCCCATGTGGCCGCCATCTTTCTTTCCAGAGGGAGGAGGGCGGAAGGGAGCAACACCCTTTCCCCTCTGGGCAGAAATGATTGCCTGGATTAACGCATAGTCCTTTCACTTTTCTGCTCCAAGCTGCTGGGTTCTGCATTAGGTCATTGTGCTTCTGGGGCTGTGGCCGTGCTGGAGAGCCGCTCGTGGGGGCAACTGGTGGCCTCGGTAGGGCATGAAGGGCGGACCGAAACGCCCCCCTTCCCATGAGGTTTTAGTCGCCCCCACACTCCCGGCTCATACCTGCTGTCCACAAGGCTCCCATGTGGCCGCCATCTTTCTTTCCAGAGAGGAGAGGGCGAATGGGGCAACACCCTTTCCCCTCCGGCAGACTTGATGGCCTGGATCAATGCATAGTTCGTTCACTTTTCTGCTCCAAGCTGCTGGGTTCTGCATTAAGCCCTTGTGCTTCTGGGGCTGTGGCCGTGCTGGAGAGCCGCTCGTGGGGGGCAACTGGTGACCTCGGTAGGGCGTGAAGGACGGACCGGAACGCCCCCCTTCCCATGAGGTTTTAGTCGCCCTCACACTCCCGGCTCATACCTGCTGTCCACAAGGCTCCCATGTGGCCGCCATCTTTCTTTCCAGAGAGAAGAGGGCGAATGGGGCAACACCCTTTCCCCTCCGGCAGACTTGATGGGCTGGATCAACGCATAGTCCGTTCACTTTTCTGCTCCAAGCTGCTGGGTTCTGCATTAAGTCCTTGTGCTTCTGGGGCCGTGGCCGTGCTGGAGAGCCGCTGGTGCGGGGCGACTGGTGACCTCGGTAGGGCGTGAAGGACGGACTGGAACGCCCCCCTTCCCATGAGGCTCTAGTCGCCCCCACACCCCCGGCTCATACCTGCTGTCCACAAGGCTCCCATGTGGCCGCCATCTTTCTTTCCAGAGGGAGGAGGGCGGAAGGGAGCAACACCCTTTCCCCTCTGGGCAGAAATGATGGCCTGGATTAACGCATAGTCCTTTCACTTTTCTGCTCCAAGCTGCTGGGTTCTGCATTAAGCCCTTGTGCTTCTGGGGCTGTGGCCGTGCTGGAGAGCCGCTCGTGGGGGGCAACTGGTGACCTCGGTAGGGCGTGAAGGACGGACCGGAACGCTCCTCTTCCCATGAGGTTTTAGTCGCCCCCACACCCCCGGCTCATACCTGCTGTCCACAAGGCTCCCATGCGGCCGCCATCCTTCTTTCCAGAGAAGAGAGGGCAAATGGGGCAACACCCTTTCCCCTCTGGGCAGAAATGATGGCCTGGGTTAACTCATCGTCCGTTCACTTTTCTGCTCTAAGCTGCTGGTTTCTGCATTAAGTCCTTGTGTTTCTGGGGCTGTGGCCATGCTCCAAACTTAACTCTGATTTTCAGGGAGAAAGATTGGGTGGTTTACTTCTCATTGATCACTTTGTATATAGAGAGATGTCGCGCGGCCGCATAAGCGGCCGCGCGGTTTTGAGAGAAAGTCCTCGTTCCCGCATACTCGAGCTGTGTTTGTAGAGGCTTCTGGTCACCAGGGTTCCATCTGGGGGAGGCGAGATGCGGCGCCTACTCCATCTGGAACTTGCCGGTGCTCTCGGCTCTTTTTGGAACCTGTTTTTTCTTTTTTCTTTTCCTCCGGGATCCCGCACCCTCCATGTGTTCCTTCTCTTCGAAATATACAACCTTTTGACAGACTAAACCCTTGTATCGGTCTTTCAGAGACCCTCAGATTCTGTTAGAGGGACATTATCAATGTTTATCTGTTCAGCTTTGTGTTTTCCTTACTTCTTTTTTCTCCCACAAGACTTCTGAAAGATATTCTTTTTTATTTGCCAGTGTTATCAGATTAGAATCCTATCTGTTTGGTTCATCCCAGATTTTTTAAATGTAGAATATATATATATATATATATATATACACATATATATATA